GAACTTCAGTTTTCCAAATTCGAACTCCTGATCACCTTCAATTATCCAGAGAAACTGCAGAAACTGCTTTTAAAACAAACAAACAAAAAGCCTTTACAGTCTGAAATTCGAGGTTGAAATTTAAACCTGCTCTGGGATATCTGACTGACAAAAGCATGCATGTTTGCGCAGCAGACACTCTTGTGTTGGAAGCTACACCTTCCAACAGTGAAAACGATCCTGTATCATGTCTCTGGAGAGCAGTGATAAAACGTACTGAGCTGATTACATTTTAAAGAAATATTGAAAGCAAAAAATAGGAAAGAAATGGAAGGAAGATTTCCTTTAAAGGAGACACATTAAGATCACCTCTTGCTGTGCAACAAAAGAAACAGATGAAATCCAGCATGACTTAGTAGGAACGACCAAGGTAATACTGATAAGATTCTGTAGCAGGAGATGTAGTTCAATAAATTGAACTTAACATATTTATTAAAATAAATTAAAAAAAAATACCAAACACAAGAAGAAATACTGAATGTTCACTCAAAGAATATTTCAGCTGAAAACAGAAATTTCAAATTATGAAGAAACCAGGCACAATTAAAAAAAGAAAAAAAAAGAAAAAAACAAAAGACAGGAGAGATTAAAAATTATTGCAGATAGTTACAGATCAATACAGCTGAGCAGACACCATAAAGCTGCCTGTCCTATCTGGCAGAATTACTTCTTTTCAATAGCATAAGATGGATAGCACTTACTTCTGCAGAGACATAAAAAAGCATACCAAGTGTCCTTCTACCTCTTTGCCTTCTTCAAGGATTTTTTGAAAAGTAGTAAATAAACTCCTCATAGGGCATCTGTTACTGGTGGTAAGTGACCCACCCACTTCATCGTCAAAGCTGAGGAAACAACTGTTAACCACACATCTTCAAACTCCAGCTTCAAGACCAATGGGTTAGTTGCCAGGCTGAACTGCATGGCAGACTTTAGACTACCTTCCTTATTCTGAATTAATAACAATTAATCACTTTAATTCTGAACTCCTGCTCCTGTAGGAGAATGTAATGAGGTTCACAGCTTTCTCTATTTGCATCACAGCATGTATTAATAAACGCATTAGTAGTATCCATATGTTAACTCCTCTTGTAGCTCGTAACCCTTCTTAGCCTATTTCTAGCCATAGAACACCAAATCTTCCAAGAAACTCAGTTCTGAAAATTTATTTTACTTTTTATTTACTGCGTAAACTTCACATGATTTGTCAGTGAACTAGAGAAGGGCTGTAGCACAATCCCTGTAACCATCCCTGGCCTTCATTTACTGACATCTTCCAACAGTTTATGGTCCAGGATTTCCAGAATCAGAACAGATGAGCTTTTTTGATACTATCTGGAACCTCTCCTGTGGCTAACCAGCCACAAGATGATCAGCCCTGTCAGGAGCTCCCACCAAGGATCCACATGACACACGTCTCAAACCAAATCCAGCTAGACCTGGTTGGGCAACTTCTCGTTTCTGTCACGTTCTTGATGTAGCCTCAGCCTATACTACATCATCAAACACAGTGTTACCTACACTTGCCATCCTTTCGGAATAGCAAAAGAGTGGGAGCAGTTATCTGTTTTCCCCCACCAATCCCAGACACACTGTGGTATTCCATTCCATCACTAGCCAGTATTATCCAGGAATACCAAAGTAAGTTTCAGTAATGGAATCACAGGAAACTCCTCCCTTATCAACTACCTGCCCTTTCTTTGTCAAGGATTTGTTATGTTTTGCTTTATGGTGACTGCCTTTATTGGTTTTGGTGAGAATGATACTGTTGACACAAAGAACATGGGGAAAAAAAAAAAAAACACCTGTCTCACATCTGCTGTTCCCTGGTCCCAGACACAGAGGACTTCGTATTAGCTGTTACATACATTTCTAATTCATGTGGGTTTTTAAGACCCTCTGCTTGTATCTCTTGAAGTTTTTGTCTCAGTGGGGTCTGGTACACTACTAGAATATAACGTATGCAGTCACATACTGTTTGCAACCACTCTGATTTTGATGCTACCTCAAGTTTTGTCATTGCTAAATTACTTCATGATCTTCATTGTGAGCTCGTTGATATTCCATTTACTTGGACACCTCTAACCACTTGATAAGTTACTTCATCCATGACAAAAGCAGTTCTTACGCAATCTCTTCTGCAAGCTTTCTTGGACCTATGTTTATTACATTAATTTTTGATCCACAAGACATTATTATTTTGTACCAGACCAGACTTCTTGCTACCTCAATGTACACTTCACAGGTCTCCTGCTCTGGAGCGCTTTGGTTACACTACTGGTGAAGGATGGCTCATTTCAGCATAGGATGCACTGGAAAGACACTTTCATGGCTTCTATCAGAGATATATGCCAGTATGTGTGGTCTCTACCCAGCCAGTAAGACAAGCTGTCAACAGACCCTCTCACCAACAGTCGACTCCAAGAGTTGCCTTTGCCTCTGGAAAAACACCCTCAGTACAGCTCCAGACAATGGAAACCTTCATCTGCTTCAAAGATAAAAGGAGGTGTCTTCTCCAGTGACAGAAATGCTGAGTACAAGAGAGAATTCTGCACGACCAAGCAGACTCCGTAAATGTTGAAGCTATTTCTCATCTGAAAGCAAACAGAACTATCTACCACAGCTATCATCTTGGTGCAACATGACCCTAGACAGATACCAGAAAGTTTCAGTTTTCCCATATTCTTCCTTCTGCTTTCATTTTTGGAAAGGCTGCTTGGGCAGCTCCATTCCAAGACACCACTTGCAGTGTCACAATCTGAAATAACAGTAAAGGTAGAATTTAATTCATCAGTCACCCACTTGAAGGTGATAAGTTTTAAGCAAAGTAGTTCAGTACTGGACAAAATGCTTGCCTCAGTACACAAAACCAAATCTTTAGATTCCACCTTATGTTCCCTGTTCCCCTGTGATATGCTCCAATATGCCTAAGCAGAAGCTAATACCAGAAAAAATAGCCAAACTTGGAGTTTTACTTCCTGTGTTCTTTGAATTGCCTGTCTCTCTTTCAAATAGCAAACTCAACACAACAGAAGGCTAAAGAGCTATGCTCCCAGAAGACTTAGAGGAGTAGAATCATGGGGTTTCTGCTGAGCAAAGCCCCAGGGGAATGCTGCAGCTTCTAATCTTTCTAAACATTTAGCAGCTACACAATCTTTAAAGATTAAAAAAAAAAAGCTTTCTTTTTACTTCACCGTTGTAAGCCAGCATTAAACACCCTGAACAGATGGGTACAAGATGAATGACTGCTGTAGAAAACTGCGTAATTATGATGTCTCAACTTTGCCAACCAGTGACAAAGCAAGCAGAACAATGCCCGTTACACTTTTTTCTCAGCAGAACAGTGCCACCCACTGCTTTTCCAGAGTATCTCCTTGCCTGCAGACAGCTGCAGAAGGCTCAGGTTGGTACTTCGGCTGTTTGGTGATTGCTTTCTCCTCACCCCAACAGAGTTCTTCCACAGGCTACACGTCTACAACAGTATTTCAGTCACCAGTAAAGCTGCACAAAGGACAAGAAGTTCTTCGAACTTGCTTTACTACAGCTGAAGCCTCAGGATAGACAAAGGCTGAATCACAGAAAAGGGAGTGGATTTTTACGCTGGGAGCAGGAGTTCCTTTGACACTACAGCCACTACTTGCAAGCCACTCAACAAGCTGAAAGCAATACCCTGGCTGCGGGGTCCGGAATACCCAACTGTTTTGGTTTTAATATCTTTCTATTCGTTTTGCATCATCCCTTTATCACAGCAGAAAACAAAGTATCAATCACTCACTTTTAAGCTACTCACAGGTCATTCTCTATAATCAACATGTCTACCCAGCAGTTTAACTGCTGTTCCTACATGGAATATTCATTTATTCCAAGCAGCAGCAGTGATCAGGACCAACAGTATTCAAGCAGTTAAGACAGTAAGTCCCCAAGGGCTCTTTTTATTTCCATTACAAAGACACCACTATTTGTGCACATCCTGCTTATCTAGATGATCTGCTGGTGAGGAAAACTGGCAACTATAGTTTGTTTAACACAGCAAAGTACCAATCAAATAAAACTCTCCAATATTAGTCTTTCATTAGCAAAATACTTTGTAAGCCAGTTTACAACAGGCAGCAGGATCCCCAGTTGCTCAGACTGAGGAACGTGCAGGCAAGTATTTCAACAAGAGTCACGTATGATTCAGTGCTCTCTTTTTAAAAACAAACTACTCACTTGACTTTTAACAAGAACCCTGGAAAATTCCAGAAAGGTCAGTGTACAAAACTACATAAAATCCTAGGCATGTTTAATTACCTCAAAGCCAGACATACTTTGTTGATAAGTAAATAACCCTAAACAGTCCTTACGTCTTATTTATCAGAGATCCATGGTTTGGACCCAGCTGTAGTCTACTAAGAACAGTCGTAAGACATCCAAATATCAGCAATGAAAAGATGAAGATGGCTGTAGGTGAAATCAAGGTCCCAAGCTTAAGGGGAAACTATGGACTCCAAATGCATTGGAGAGTTCTCTCTGTGGTGACTGAGGTGACAGCTTAATAACGTGTATGCCTATTTGTAACAATCTTTGGAAGGAAGTTGCATCATGTTTACATTACTGCTCAATAAATGTCTAAAAACTTCCCTTGCTACATAACTAAATCACCAAACATTCACTTTTAAGAAACACTTTTTATTCTGAGCTCACTTTCTCTTTAGAATGGAGTAGGCATATAAAGACAGCTAATTTCAGGCACAAAATTAGTAGTTTTTCACTGGTCCTGAGCATCGAGACAGCAGTTACCCAGTGACTTAACTGGATGGTCATATGAATTCATACTTCACTGTGACAGTTCAACTTAAGAGCTACGGGACCTGGTACAAGAAAGTACTCACATGGCTTGGAATGGGTGCAATACACTTCTAACAGTAAATATACAAAAGACATTAAGGTCTTCTAGACATTTATTTTTCAATGTACAGTATCACACATTTAAAATAAAGAAATAAGGCTCAGATACCATAAACGATGTATATAGTGTTTGCTAGACGAACACTTGACTAAGAACAAGTCATATTCTAGCCCATACTTCATGGGGCTGCAATGAAGTTCAGGCACGTGAACAGAAATACTTTACTGTTTAATGACTTACAACTCTTTCGGTCTGTTTAACAGAAGACGAACCAAATTAAGCAGAACTTCATCATTAAAGCCTTTCACATTACCATCTTCCACAACATCATACAACGGCTTACTGTCTGTACCCCAACATATATTCTTACGAGGGTTATTTTTCATAGTTTCTGCAGTTAGCGCTAAAGTATTTAGCTGGTAACTAAAGAAAGCGAAGTATTTTCCATCAGTCACTACTGCCTGCGATACAAAAGGACGGGTCACATCTGCTTCATTCCAGAATCCTACAAAATTAGAAGACAAAACACTAGTTACACAGGATTCGAAACTCCCATGTGCACATACATTTAAACCCCAATCCTGAAATACAGAAAAATACTGGGAATTGCAGCAGCCACTTAGTAGGGAGAAAAAAAAGACCTATCTGTTTCAGTAAAACAAGTATTGTTACAGATTAAAACACAACCCCCAGTCAGCACTCTTCTAACATCAGGGGGGCAGTGGTGTATTTGCATTTTCCACACAGTTCCCTATTGCTGACTGATAAAAACCCCACACCGATCAGCTAAGTGACTTGTCAAAAATTACATAAGCTATTAATGCATCCAAGTCCTGCAAGCGATCTGAGGGGAAATGTCTTTTGACGCTTCCACACTTCTCATGAAACAAGTTTTCACTGCCCTGTGACAGTCATGCGTATGTATGCATGAGCGTAACTGACTACAGCAACCAGCCAGACACTGTGTCAGTAAGTATTAATGCTTCAAACCACCTCTGCTGAGGATTATCTTTCAAAAAATATTTTCTTTATATATTTATGCATGTGTGCTGGCACACACAGTCAGATTCTTAAAGGGCATTTGGTATCATGTGCAAGGAACACCACTAGAAACTGCTACAGAACAGGAAAAAAAAAAATCATAGATTGAGTCATGCTGTCCTTGCTTACACAACTGTAAGTGGCTTTGAAGCCAACATCTGACTTCAGTGTTTTATGGCCTCAAAAAAGTCAAGCTGTCTAACATGCCGTTACTTTAAAAAAAAATTATGCAGAGCCAGCAATATATATCCAGTAACACTAGGGAACTATTAACATCAGTAAGCAAAAGATTGATCTAGTCTATCCATCCAGGTCTTACAGGTTTTTTAGATTAAAAATACGCATAAAATCCTGAAGTAAGGCTGCTGACATTTTTCTTTCATCAACTGCAGTTTCATAGAATTGACGTTTCTGAAGCAAGGGGCTAACAATATTGTTGTTTCAGAAATAAACAAACTGCTTAATATCTACCACCTTTCTACATAACACATGTGGAGTGATCAACGGAATGAAGGGTTGTTTCTGCACAGGCTTAGTGTTATATGTGAAAAAACATTCTTATGCATAATTAGTTCTCCATGAGTCAAAGTACCCAAAGACAAATTAACTCCCTTGTATGAAGTCTGTATCATTCATTGGTTCACTTAAATTTTCAAAGACTCACTCAAAGGAAGGTTTTCAGAAGAAAATGCACGAGAAAAAGTTGTTGGGAGGGTTAAGGGACGTTTACTGTAGTCATTCACCAGCAGAAAAATTTATCAAGCTGTCCGTCTCACCTTGATACATTGCTTGTGCTGCTGTCCAGGCAAAGAGGCTTGCAATACCATTAGCTCGATAAACAACTTCAATCTGATCCTCAAGATTTGCTTTTATAAACCTTTCCCGTTTTAGTTTATCGGGAATAAGATGAAACTGGGTGTGTCCATAACAGCATGGATCTGCTAGCTTTGATCCTGTGTTTCCCAAAATGGAAAAAAAAAAAAAGGGTCAGAGAATGCTCCTTACTATGCATACAAACATGTCTTTACTACCAGACTCCAAACAACAGACGGCTGGAACGTCTACTGTAGATCTGTATAAATGTTGAGATTCCTCCATTTCTGGGTAAGACTGGGGGGCTTCCCAATCCCAAAAGGCAAGAGTTCACACATTAAAATGTCTCTGAGGAGATTCTAACTGGCATGGAATCTCAATAAAGAGTTACATACTATATATATGTATACAGTATAGTTATATATAAAAATGCACATTTTTTTTCCCTGATGACAGGAGTAGAAAGGTTGGGGTGGTGGTGGTGTTTTGGGGTTGTGTTTTTTATATCGTTTTGGTTTGCTACACAAAAGTAGTTATAATTTCCTGACTAGAAACTCTTACCTATATATACCTTGTTTTCATACTGCTTTTTGAACAACGGCAGTTTGGATGGCTTGTGATCAATAACAGGAACATCTCCAAGATCTGACTCCAGCGGTACAATCTGGAAGTGGGAGAAAGAAAAGCCATGGTGTAAGTCAATGTTTCGGACATCAGGCCCCACATAACACGCTACTTTCTGGTCAGAGCACAGAAAGTAAAAGTCTCGCTTACACACCACATGTATAACTTCAACTGAAATTCAATTTTTGCAACAGAACTTCCTGCCTTGTGATAAGTGCTAGTACGTGGACCTCACACTGACATCTGAGTTTTCTGCAATATACAAAAACATCAAATCAAACAGTGCTAACAAAGCCACCAATTGGTACTATCTTGAGAACCAAATCCGCTTCTGTAGATGTGCAAAACCATTTCTGGCAGCAGAACCAGCAGAGTGAGCGTACAGGTATACAGTGTTTCAACCATGTCTCATTTTCAAATTGCCTGGACAGTTCTCCCAAAATGCCAAGGTTGGCAACACCTGACAGTACTAACCTAAGCACATTACACAAATAAGCTAGCAAGAAATGTTCAGCATTTATAGGAAGTAGAGCACATTTTTCTGTTTGTGGTTGGAACCAGACAACGGAGACCCTCACAGGGTACACAACTACCACCGTATACACCTACAAGAAAAAGACATGGATACTTAATCAGTTTCCTGAAAACTGAGCGTTCAGGAACACAACTGTTAAGCAGTACTAACAGGTAACAAAGCTCACATTCAGATTATACATGCTCCCTCTTACTCCATCCTTCTCCATTTTTGTCCTCTTACACTCCTACACTGAGAGAACATTTCACACATTTCTTATTCTTGCCTCCACTCACAAGCATAAAGTGTAAAAAACTCAACACATTGGATCTAAAGCACAAAAATAACCAACCTGAAGTTCTGAAGACTGTCTCAGTATCTACAGAGCAGTCACCACAACAAGGCAGTAAGGACATTAAGACTTGAAAAACACACAGATGTGGTACATACCTAAATAACCATGTCCTCCACGTTACCTACTGCGTTGTTTCAGTGGCTGTCAGAAACATCAGTAAAGAATCATGTAATTAACTTCCAGTTGAAACTATCCATACCTCTGGAAGTTGATTTGGCACACGGAGCTGAAGGTGCGGCTTGTCATCTATTTGAAACCGCACAGGATCCACTCTACCCTTTCGATGACCATGGACAACAACTTCCTCACCATGATGCCAGTAATAATTAACTTCAGGTTTTAAATCTGAAACGGAAAAGAAGGATAGAAACAGAGACCACCCATTTGCATTTTAAACTCTCCCGATTCTTGTTCTGCATCTGCAGTAAAACAGAAAAATCAAAATCCACTCGCACCAGGTGGGACGATGGAGATGACAGACGAATTACTCGTCACGGTCTGTACAACCCGACTATATCAGCAACACTCCCGCGGGGTTCACAGACCGGCCCCACCGCCCAAGGGCTCCCACCTCCCCC